GCTCAATATATAGTATTGGTAAAAGGTGGCTGTGCAGATGCTGTTCTGAGCAGTGAATAATTTTGTTATCTACTTCGCCCTTTAAAGAAAAGGAAGATTAATCCACTTAAGGTCTTATTTTCAATGCAGACAGTTGAAAAAGAGATTTAACACAACATGGAATTTAAGAACCATAAAAATTCCTTAATAGCACAGTGAGTTGGACACCAGGTCCCTCTGTGAAGGCAAGCTGTGCCCTTACCCTGTCTGGCAGGGATTTTGCAGGGGGAATTGGAAGGTGCAGAGCTCTGCAGGACAGGAACAACCTGTGCCAGTGCTGTCACCAGCAGGCAGGGCAGGGCTGGAGCTTGGCCCGGGCCCTGCCAGCCCTTCCCCAGTGTAATCTGAGACAGGGCAGGAGATCTCCCCGATCCTGGGGGAGAAGGGGAGGGAGCCTTTTGTCTCTGTGAAATCTCAGTGCAAAACAGAGGCGGGTTCCTCAAGGCCAGAGTGGGGAGCAGCAGGGACAGGGGGACAGCTGGGCCAAGGCTTGGCTGCAGGGCAGAGGCACAGAGAGCCAGTGCTGGAGCCCCCCGGTGCCACCGACTTCACTGGATTTCACTCTTATGTCTGCATTGTGCGTGTGTGACCCCGGTGGTGACATCCTCCCGTGTGGAGCTGCCAGCAGAGGCCTCACCAGCTGGAGCACCAAACCACTCTGAGGGCAGGGTAACTCCTCCTCTGGCACTCTGTCACTTGGGAATCCTGGCAGGCAAAAACCCTGTGGCCAGGCTGCTGGGAAAGTGGTGAGCAAGCAGAGGACCAGCAGGACAGCTTTCTGCGAAGGCACAGCTTTGTGCAAAGGCACAGCTTTCTGAGAAGACACAGCTTTCTGCAAAGGGACAGCTTTCTGCAAAGGGACAGCTTTCTGCAAAGACACAACTTTCTGCAAAGGCACAGCTTTCTGCAAAGACACAGCTTTCTGCAAAGACACAACTTTCTGCAAAGGCACAGGCACAGCTTTCTGCAAAGGGACAGCTTTGTGCAAAGACACAGCTTTGTGAAAAGACACAGCTTTCTGCAGAAGCACAGCCTTCCCATCAGTCTCACACTGACCAAATTGGGTTTGCTGTTTGCTGATAGCCTGGTGACTGCTGAGTGCACTGCAAGGGCGACTGGGCCCTGGGTATTCAGGAGAAATGTGGTAGGAGCAGGTGTGCCAGGGTTCTGGTGTTTTGTTTCCTGGAAGAAGTGGCTGGATTTAACGTGTCTGGAGCCCCAGAGTGAGATGAGCTGCAAGGTGCATTCATAACCAGCAGAAGACTGAATTAGGTTCATTCTTTATGGATGTTTTAAGCAAAGCATTGGAAAGAACGCTGGGGCTGGATGGAATGGATTGAGTCAGCACAAAGATTCCTGAGCCAGAGCTCCAGAACGTGCTGCTGCTGCTGCTGGAGAAGGTGAAAAGGTAAAGGGGGAGGGTGCAGGGCACCGAGGGAGGGGTGACAGCTGCCCTCTGGGGCAGGCACTGCTACTCTGAAATCAGCAGCTGCTTTTAGTCTTACATCCTCTGGAAATGCTCACACAAACACACACACACACACAAAAAAACCAACCCTACAAAATGATCCTTATGATCCTTTAAACCTTTTCTAAAAATTTATAATGATGAAATAGCTAAGAGGAAATCAAGCTCAGATGCATTCAAGTTGCTACCCTAAATATCTAAATATTCACATTAGTATTTACTACATCATGCTGCTGAATGTTTATCCATCGTTTTCATTTGCTACCTGCAATTAGTACATGTGCAATTGACTGTTCTAGTGACCTCTGCAGTCTATAAAGAGACCAGGCTGCAATGAAGGGCTTGGTGTGCGCACCAAGTACAGCTGAATGTTCTTAATGAAAGTTTGTCAAGAAAAGTCCTGTGAAATGTGATTGCAGAATACACCCACCAGCATCACAGTTGTGGGTCAGATTAAATTACTGCTCCTGCTACTGACTGCTGCCTCACAGCCCTTCAGTTTCACTCGGGCCATTGGTTTTGGTCAGTAAATGCCTCTGCAGTTCGGTATGCAGGGATCATTAACCCTGGAGTGTGTTTTACTCTCGGTCCGTGGGGTTTGTGTCGGTCTGTCCTGCAGAATGCTGCTCTCTCTGACCGACCTCCAGCAGAGGCAGCCACCACCCCAGCACCGCTGCAGTTCTGCACTTTTCAGAGTGCTTTGGGCACGGTCAGTGAGCGCTGCTCTCTGGGGAAAGTGCCCTAAGAACACCGAGCTCTCACAATCAGCCTAGGGCAGGTGAGGGACACCCGAGCAGAGCAGCGCTGCTTTGTGGCAGCTCAGACATCATGGTGCTTTAACTTTGCCAGGATAGAGGATAGGAAGCATTGTGTGCTTTGGGCACGGTCAGTGGGCACTGCTCTCTGTGGAAGGTGCCACAGGAGCTCTCACAATCAGCCTAGGGCAGGTGAGGGACACCCGAGCGCTGCTCTGTGGCAGCTCAGATACCAGCGTTTGCATGGGAAGGGTTTGTGCTTTAACTTTGCCAGGATAAAGGATAGGAAGCATCAAAAACCCAACCAGGAATGCTGCAGTGGAGACGTTCAGCTCTCCAGCTCAGTAGTAACTCCTAGATACTTGGTGAGGTGCAAACAAATCTCTTTTCATTTGGATTTCCAAGGGTTAGTAGGGATTTTCATAGCTGTTATATTTATTTGTACTTTTCCCTGACTGTAGCTCTGCAATCCTCTCTGTCTAGGGATGAATTATATCATAATTCATATCCATTCATATATCTTCATTCAATTCTATCCAGACGTGCATTTTACTTCATTTCAAGCAGGACTGGATGTTAGATCACAAAAGCTTTTTGTTGAAGCTAACTAGCAATTCTTCAAGAAAGAATTCAAAAACTGCACTTTTTGTCAAAGCAAGAGAAATTGCCAACTTTTGGAAGACTGAGGAATTCTTAATGATACATTTCAAAATGTTTAACAGGAAAATATCTGATGTCTAGCCTGTGTTATCCTTGGCTAGCTCAACCTCATTATTATTTCTTAACACTGTTTAACTTCAATCACATCATTCTTTCTTTCCTGTCTCTGGTATTTACCCTTCTTTCCCAATAATTTGTATAGAACAGCCACTCCCTGTTGCAGCCCCATTTTCTGGCTATACAATTTCTCTCTTCCTCACTAATTTCTCTAGAAAAGCAAGTAGCAAGTTACACAACTGAAATGCAAAGAAGAATGTTTTATTGGGGTTTGGGTTTTTAAAAGAAATTGCCATCTTTAAAAAATGAAGCTACTGGTATCAGATTTGCTGTCTGTGTTTAACACAGAGAGATTTGGCTGCATTTTTAATCGATCTGCTCTCATGTATCTGTTTGCAATAATGAGAAATTCAAGAAGCCAGTTGGGTTTTTCATGTTTCCTGACTAAAGGCTGGGATGTTGGGAACCCAGCAATGTGCTTCCTAGGAAACCTTTCCTGCACGTGTAGCAATAGCAGCATCTGCAAATTCCAGCAGCGTTTGTGAAATGTCACAAATACCTGGGTGTAGCAGGCGCCAGAAATAGAAATCACTCAGCCTGCAGTACCTGAATCCTTGGTTGCGGTACACGAAAAGAGTTGGGAACGAATTTCCAGACTAATGAGAACAATGAGCTTTTGAGGTTTTTCCTTTGAAATCCACCCGCGGTTGTTTGCTGGGCAGCAAGGGGCGCTTGGCACCGCGGTGGATTTTGCCCAGTCCCATTTTAGTGCAGAATTACCCAGACCCTGCTGCGGGCTGGGTTTACAGCCCTGGGCACCCCCAACTCCTCCTCAGGGCTTATCTCAAGGAGCCTTCCTGGCTGTTGTTTCTATCAGAAGACGCTGTGGTCCCACAAATCGATGCTTTTTATCCCAGCAGCTCAAATGAGCTTTGTTCTGGAGAAACACCCCAGGGCACTGGAGTCCTGACTTTACAGAACAGGTACACCCGGACTCATACTGGTCACCAGAACTTTAATCAAATAAAGGGGAAATTCAGTCCCAAAATCTTGTAACCTACACAAACTGCCCTGCTTTTTCCCAGATAAAATCCAGAAATCTCTCTCTCTCTGATGGGGGTCTCATATAATGAATGGTACACACAGGACTGGGTAGGAGCTTTTATATTGTGCTTGGGATGTGGAGGGGAAGGGGAAAATCACGGCAGTTAGAATTTTCCTCAAAAGGTGAAGCGAATTTTAAAAACTCTTGATCTGATAACTCAGCAAACTCTGTAGGAATGCCGACACCTCTCTGTGGAGCATCTCCCGTGCTTAGCTGAGTTTTTCAGCCAATTGTTCACCAAACGAGGGGCGAACTGCTCCGTGCCACCCTTCCTGTCCAGCCCGGGGGGATGCACGCAGGGAATTGGAGCAGGGCGCTCTCAGGTGAGATTAGACACAATTACAAACACTCGATTTGAGCGCACTGACCTCCTGAGCGTTCGCAGAGGGGCACTGGGGTGACACTCCAGGAGGATGGGTCTCAGTAGCTGCTGGCTTGCTGTCCTTGGCGGTCACCAGCTCTTTCTGCCATCCCAGCCTGCCCGCAGCATTCTCCTTGTGCCTGAACCGCCCCACTCCTTTGTGGTTCCTGTCGACTAGAAGAGAAAATACCAAAATGAAACATTTTTGCTTGGCCTACAGAGGCTGGATTTGCTGTCGGTTCAGCATCTCTGTCGCAGAGTTACAAATTATTCACAAGGAAAGTTAAGAAAGCCCTGTCCTTTCCAGCTAGGCTGGAGCTGGGATGGGCATGCAGACTGGGATTTTTCTGTGCTGGTCACCTTTTCCAATGAGGGCTCTGCTGCAGGCTGGAAATTTCTGTCTCTTGGGAAATATCCTGTTGGAGAGTGACATTGAAAGGACAGTGCACTTTTCTGTGAAGTGTCAAGTTTTATACGTTTTTGCTGGAGGTATTGAATGAACTGGAATGAGATCAGACAAGGAATTGTTTTGTGCTCTTGTTTGTGCATTTGTAGAGTTATCTGATAGGTCCAACTCCTCACTGTTCCTTGTGTGACTCCCAGAGAACATAAGGGGAAGAGAAGCAGCTAAAAAATGGGCAGATAGTCCCTGAAGCTGCTTTGATACACAAACAGAATCCCCATGATAGGAGAGGGATGGAATTGAATATCCTGAAAATGTTCATCAACAGCTTAAGGAGTGCAGAGCACATGTTGTGCAGAACTGTGGCCTACAATAACTTTTCAAAGAGCTGGCACAGCTTTGGGGAACTGTATCATTTCCCAGGTGTGACTGATTCAGTGTGCCCTGCCTGGCTGTGGGGCTCCTCATGCTCAGCTTCTCTGCACCAGCTTTTGGGAACAGTTACAGCTGGGTATGTGAGCATTTCCTGCTTATTAGCAATTCTCAGAGGTGTTTAAAATGAGAGACAGATTCCTGTCCCCCAGCTACCTGGCAGGCTTTTAGATTTGTTTTCTACTGAGTAATTTAAATTTATGCACAGCAATGAATGCCAGTGTCAGCTCGGTTCTGCTGCACATTTACTGGGGCCACAATGAAACTGTGGCCCTGTGAGCAGCTGGTTTCTGTCAGGCCTACAAAAGGGCACTGGAGTGGATATTGTCTGTCAGGCACTGCAGTTGCACACAGGAACACACAACTCTCATGAGGATGGTGCCTCATGGGATTCCTTTCCTTTGGAGTCCCTTTCTCCCAATGTCTTTCATCCTGCCCCACAAACAGGGATTTGTTTGTAGGTTTGCAAGTCAAAGGAGAATAATTTTGTATTTCAATGGTGCTGCTTCTGTGAAATGTAACTCACAGCATGGGGTCATGCTTTGCATTGGGCTGGTTAGGATTATTTAGAATTCGGTGTCTTTTTATTTTTATCAGGCCTGAAAAGAGTGGGTGACCTAAAATGGTGTTTTATTTTGCACTGCTGTGGATAGGCTGCCAAACATGAAGAACAGTTCGAGTTTCTAACAGTTTTGTTGTCAAACGCTGCTTAAAAAGTTATTTTCAGTAAGGTATGTGATTCAGAACTTACTTGCATATTCCGTTGTAACTGGGTTTTACCTGTTATCACAGCTGTTCCAGTGCTAACTCTGCTGATATATTTTAAGGAGGAAAAAAGGAAGAAAATATTTGTGCTCTTTGAAGGAGCTTTTTATCTACCTTGCTATTGTTTGCTTTTGATCTAATTCTCTTTTTGCAATAATTGTGTAAAACTTAGATTATTTCATCATGTTTAGTACCTAATTCTAGCTGGCATTTAGCCCTTACCACTGACATCAGATAATACCCTTGCGTGTTTAGTGCATTTCCATATAAAATTCTTAGCAAGGTGTTAATCCTGTATGACAAAAGCCCTTTCTCAGTAGAACATGCATTGCAGTAACCCTAAATGCTGTACTCAGATTACTGACTGAACTCACAGCAGCAAGGTACCAGGGCCTGTGATGC